TATATATATATATATATATATATAAAATCGTATATTCATTGTTCATTATTCATATATATATATATATATATATATATATATATATATATATATATATATATATATATATATATATATATATATATGTATATATATAATTATATAATAAACTCATTATTCAGTCGTATTTATGCCATACATTTGTACAGCAACGAGTATGAAAAGGTGTTAGAAATGGAAGAGTATAGAACAAACTTACAGTGAGTGTGAACAATAATTTGTTTCACTTAGTTTCAAGCGAGATTTGATTTTCCCTTAAATCTACTACTTCCCCTGCCTGAAGTATCATTCAACGGAAAGAGTATGTGGCAGTCTTTCAGTCGTCATCGTAAGAGGCGGGCCTCGTACAGTATAAACAAAACATCAGCACCACTTCAAATGGCATTGAACAGAGAGTTAATATAAAGAACACTTTGTCTAACAAACCTCTGAACGCAGTTCATGCATTTATTTATTCGTAGTTTCCACTTTCTAAAAAAGAAACACGCGGATGGCAAAAGACATTTTTTTTTACCTTTTTCGGGTTACAGATAAAACTGGTCGACTCCAAGTAAGTGTATTTAATGCATCATAGTCGTCGCTTTTCGTTTCGTGTGGGTCCCATGCGACATACACAACACGTGTAATATACACGAAATTCGAACGCGCACAACACGACGCTTCAAACACACTGATTGTATTAATGAATGCCTTTGATGCGACAATCATGATATTGACATTAGCAGCTGGTATTTATCACCATTAAATACCTGATTTTACGTTTTCAATGTTAACGGTATGTATTGGCCTACTTTAAGCAAAGACATTAGAAAGAGACAAAGACATTAGAAAGACTATTGTCTTTGCTTTAAGTCTATATACACCTCTTCTTTTTTTAATGTAATATATCTATTGATCACGTGTCACGTGTCGTGGCGAGTAGTACTTTTTAACTATTCATATAAAATATTGATCATTGTAGAATTAATCAACAACAGGGCAAATCAGTGTGTGATTTATAATTGAGAGTTTTAATTAAATGTGTTATTAGATTTTATTGCAAATTCGTTTACTGTAATTGTATTTGACGCCAATGTTATGCTCGGTATTGGCAGAAACGTCAAGATGACGGCGCCAAATAAATAATGCGAGCGTCTGACATACTGATCGTGTTTGTTGTTGCAGTCTACAAAGTGTTTAATAGTTCAGCTCCCAGAATGACCGATTTCAAATTACAAAAAGTGACCGGAAATCTGTTGTTGTTGTTGTTGTTTTTTTTTTGTTATTATTATTATTGTTGTTGTTGTTGTTGTTGTTGAAATATTGGTAATTGGTTAATGTTTTATATTTCTGTGCAAACGTTATTACAACAATGAGCATAAATCCTATTTTGATCACTAGAAACCTAGGGGACTCGAGATTTTGAGAAAGCAAAGAAATATTTTACAGATAAAATGACAGAAATAAGCAAAACGGAAGCAAACAACAATTTCACCAATCTCATCCTGGATAATTCTAACTTAAATCTAATGAAAACAATATTTTCTCTGTTTTTGTACCATCTCCCCATCAATAGACGTTAATTTTAAGGGGTCTCGTTTCTATTCCTCACCCAAATGATCAACAGCAGGTGACGACACCCCCGCTTTACAATACCTCAGACTCTAGAACATAATACTCTAATAGGTAGGATTACCTTGACACTGACCTACATTTCACTCTGAATATGAATCGCTGCCAACCTTGGTGGCTGTCAGCGCGTCGTAATGCGATATCCAAAACAAAAGCGACACACACTATGTGCTTTCAATTCACGTCACAATTGTATTGTTCTCGCGTTATTTGTACACGTAGGCATCCACATTCTCATCTGAATAAATCAGAAAATTCATACTGGATTACTATATTTACACTGCCGTGTGTATTATTTACTTATTCAATTATTTTGTCTTCCCGTTTTTTTTTCTAATCGCATATTCAACGACGAACAGTCACGTTCTTTCCCCAATAACGTAATAAACCACGCGGAATTAGTTGTTCACGCTGCATATGTTAACTATTTATTCAACGAAAATTTAATTGTATTGTTTTCAATTGTATTGTTTTCAACTCTTTTGTAGTTACTTTATTCACGGTTACTACTTTTAGTAACCATTCTTAATTGAGCATTTTGGTCGATCGAAACTGAAAAAGTACAATTTATTTAACAAAATAAGTATATTTCATATCAGTTGAAAATGCAGTTCTTTTTCTGAAATAATTTTATTTTCCAGTACAAAAATACTTGACGGTTTTTTTTTGCATCTTGGGACTTATCTTTGTTTATATTCCACATCACATCATTGGGGTTAATTATAATAACGTTATTAAAGGTTGCACGGTTGGCTAACCACGCTGTTATCTTTTGTCACCAAACACACACGAGATATGACATTGTCATTAATATTAATAGTATTCAAATTCAGTATTTCTCGCGCGACATATTTTTGTACTCGGCTGCAGTATATTGTACTGGACATTTATTGAGCGAGGGAGATCTCGATGTGATAAAAGGAGAGACAATAAATGGAAAAAAAACTCGCCTATGCGTTACGTGCATTCGGTGTTGACACCAGTGAAGGTGTTTAAAACGAAAGCGTGTGTGCATCTAATTTTGAAAATCCCTTCAACAGGGCCCCTTAATAGATAACATATTACAATTGCAATATTCTATGAAATGAGAGGCCTCGCGTTTTGTTAACTGGTAACCGTATACCCGTCTATCCACGCTACGTGTTGCGATCACCGATAGCTGTACACATATCTAACGGCTGGTTTCCTATATATGGCATAGGGGATAATATTACGGGGCAAATTTCATTACGTTTTCGAATACCATCCGCCGACGTGAAGGTCGTCGCATGCAAGCGGTAATACGACCGACTATTGTATGATATCCCTATGTGATGGGGACCCGCAAAGAGGAGTGTAAAACGTTCCAGCCGGATTCCTGGGGGAGCACCAGATGTCGTTCGTGTTTTCGCGAGCGAGACGAGCATCCCTCGTACGAATACACAATATCGACTTTTTCTGGCATGACTCTGTCTTCCATTGATGAAGAGACGCGTGTATATGGGTCAGATACGAGCAGGTCTGTTTTACATCACAACGTGGATGAATATATAGAGTACAGTGAAAACCACTCGGCGTCAACAAAGATAGTGCTCACGGAGTCACCGCCATTTTTAGATGACATTAATACTGCGTCGGGGTCATCGATTCTTCTTTTTCCGTCAATACGGGACGAGTCCAGGCTATTGGAGTCATTGACACCAGATAGCTATTCAGAGAATTCGAAACATGACGCCTGGAGTGCTGAGAGCCGAATAGATTACGACGAACGACTTCACCCGAGCCCCGACGATGAGTTTTCTCTTGAAGGATTCGAAGTCGATGATGCTTTAGATTTTTTTGGAGACTCCTCGAGGTACAGCACCTACGAGGACTTGTCGTCGCTTTTGCTTGACAGTCGCGATAAGAGAAAACATTCGTTGGACGGGGCGCATGAAGCTAATGAGTTTCAATGTATGAGCTCATTGGTCGAATCGGCGAATGTTAATAAGTCACTTGATTCATTATTCATCCAGAAGGAGGCTGGGTACATCGAGGAACTAGAACCGCACCAAGCACGCGTGCGAAGTCGAAGCCTTGGCGCGGAAGAAGGCTTGTACATAGAGGAGGAGTGTGCTACCAATGCAGCAAGAGGGATAATATACGATAATAGTCAGGGATTGTCGACCGGTGTCTGTGGTGTTAAAACCGATAACGTAGAGATGGCCGAAGTCGTTGGAAACGTCAACACTGCATCGACCAAGTCTAGCAGTGACCCTGTTAGGAAACACGCACAACAGAAGCCTGCTGCCGCTGCTTCAACGTGTGTCGTACAAAAAGGGAATAAGAAATCTGTGTCGGTGTCAACGGTGCCTACCCCGACTGCAAAGGGTGCGGATAATACTGCCAAAAATGTTAGCAAAGAGTGCGAAAAGGATTTATCGAGCCGAAGTGCACAATGTCCAACTCAGCAAGCAGCACAAACGAAGCTATCTCATGCGGAACCCAATGAGAATGGCGACGCATCTCAGGCATTCGGTGATGAATTTAAGGGCATCAACAGGGCTGAAGTGGAGGAGTTGAAGGATCTTGTCAAGAAGCTACACCATCAAGTGGAAGACATGGGAAAACAAGCTGAAGATCTTGTCCAAGAAAACCAAAAACTAAGATCATTGCAACTGCCTGTTTCCCTCAAAGACCAAGATCCTTACAAGTCTTTAATTGACGCACAGAATCGTTTAGCAGAGTCAGAGGAAGCCAGGCAAAGTTTGAAAGAGAGAAATATATGCTTGGAGGCAGAAATAGAAGAACTTCGCGTTGAAATAGATGAAGCACGTGACACTTTTAGGGAGGGTGACAACGAAGAATTTCGTGAATTGCAAAAGCAACTTGAAGCTGCATCTAAAAACTGCCGCGTAATGCAATATCGTCTGCGCAAATCGGAAAGAAAAATTGAAGATTTGGAATCAGAGAGAAAATTACTGGAAGAGAAATTACACTCATTATCGTGCGGTGGCACTAGGTTTCAAGAAGGGAATGGTGGAAACCAGGATCTTTACTCGCAGTTAAAAGTAGCGAAGGATGTGTCCGTGCGCTTGCATATGGAATTAGAAAATTTGGACGAGAAGCGTGGGAGAATCGAAGAAGAGAATCAGTTACTACGCCGGAAATTAGTGGATTCGGAAAATCAGAGGAAAGAATTAAAACGTGAAGCCGAGAAAGTAAAAATCGAGGTAATTATAATTACTAATTGGTGTAGTAATCGCATTATTTATTTCAGGTTTTTTGTGTTTTTTAAAATCAATATATTTAATGCATTGTCCTAATAGAATGACATATTACATTTATAATTGCTTCACATACGTACTTGTCATACTTTACATGGAAGTGCAAAGTTTACTCAAAACAGCTGAGCGACTCCTATGCTGACCTTTGTGTACCTCTCGTAAAGAAATTCCTTCCTGGGACCTCTTGTATTTATTTTGACCCACTTGAGTGTTGGAGAATATTTATTTATGCGTGAGTTTGTTTTCTGACCTGATATTAACGAGTGGAATTCCTGCAAGACAAACGCAGGGGTGCATGCATTTATTAATAAATCTAAGGTGGCTGGTTTCAAGTAATGATGTCAAAACGGTTTTATTATATACAATAATGTGGTATCTTTGGTAAATTTTGCCGTCGTTTAAAGATGCAACGTCATGCGCCTGAGCAGTTACCTTTATGCTGTCAGTAGTTTTCAGAACCCAAGAACAACCCATTTTAGTGAGCCTACAAACTGACAGTTCAACGTACTTATTGATGTTCCGTATAATTTATTTCCATAAACCGCAAATAACTTAAAGATAAATTGTGTTCTAACCTTTAAATGACATGAAGCAAAACGGCGGCTCGCGTTGTCCTGTCTTATGTGAAACATTATTGAAATAGTTTTCAAATAATCGCGATAATAAGTAATAATAAATCGTGACAAAATTATTGATAGTTGCATGTTATGTTTGATGGTTTCACTATTTATATTAATCGCTGTCCATCCATCAAAACGGTCCGGTTATTGATATGACAGCCATATTAATTTATATCGCAAATCGCGATTTAATTTATATCGCAAATCGCGATTTAATTTATATCGCAAATCGCGATTTAATTTATATCGCAAATCGCGATTTAATTTATATCGCAAAGTTCAGATGTACATCATTAGGGTTGTTTGATCATTGCTCCAAAAATACCCTTTGCCTTGGCATGATGTCGGGTTTCCCCCAAATAGCGTTTTGGTAAAATAAATACATGAATCTGGGGTTAAAACGCACTGTTATCTTAGTGTATATGGTCTTATTGATGTCTGTACTGTGTCCTTACACTGTTCTTCACCGTTATCACGTGCTGCGGTCATAAATTTGCGCCCCTTGCCGTATCTGTCAACTACAGTGAAAGATAAAAATAGAGGTCACACGTGTGTGCGTACACCTTACTTCAAACCCAGGCAATGAATGTTGACATTTTGACCCGGATTCTGACAGGACTACTAGTCGTTATTACAGTTATATTAACTCCCAGGACATCGTGGTTTTCTATACGTTTGTCAGTGGAAACAAACGCGTGAGCAAATCACGATTGAAGAATGCTTGTTTACGAATTTCTTTAGAATATGTGAACGTATTATTTCAGCTGATTTTTATCTTCTCTTTGTTACCGGATGTGCTGGCAGACGACATTTATTTAACATAGATATCGGTGTAATCTCTTCGAACGATTTCCCGTTCAAACTTGTTCAAAAGATAAAAAGCAGAATGTTTTCATTAATATAGAATCTGTATGGATCCAATGAATACGAGTTAAATAAACTCAAAATAGTATTAACAACAATAATATTATTATATGTTTAAACCAGTGACAGTTTGAATGTTTCTGCCAATGATTTGTTTAATTTTATTAATTTTTATGTAACTTTAATATTATTCTGTTTGTTCTGTACGCCATGACTTGTTGCGTTAAATGTATTCGTGTTCCGAATGTTTGTCGTGTGCACCGGAGGTTGTAACCACGTGACTCTTTGGTCGGGCTTATTTAATAGTGATTTGCCTACCCTGAATACAGGTTAATTAGAACTGTCATCAATGTATAAAAGGTCACGCAATGAACTCAATTGTTTTCAATACTATGTGCAGGACTCATTGGATGTGTGTGCAAGACATCCCTGATTTCAAATTATATTGTTATCTGTTGGGAGTTGAATAGTAGTGTGATATGGAGATGATATTGAATGTGAAAGTGCTGGGCTGAAATGCATATGGACAAAACGGTGAGGGTGAAAGGCATGTGTTCACCTTGGCCTAACTGGGTTAATAGTTCTAATGCTTAGAGTTTGTTGGTCGTACGTGATTGTGACAATCTGTCAATAACTCACCCGTCAGTAGATATCAATGAGAACATGGTGTTCTTTTTGTTGTGGCATTGAAAGACCAAACTTATCTCCAGTCAGCCAGAAAGCAGTGCTTTATACGTCGCCGTTATAGCGCATTGATCGGTGCTTTGTGAACTAGAGCTGCGTTGGACATGGTTCTCTCATATAACCTAGTGTGCATCAAGGGCCTCATTATGAAATATTAATGTGATGTTTGAAATCTGATAAATTTGATTTTTATAATTATTTATAAATAGTATCCCTGCATCGCCTTCAAATGTTAGCTGAAGCAAATGTAACAACAAATGCACAAAATCAAATTTTCAATTGAAGTTTGTTAATAGTACGGAGCTAAAGTTCAAAGTTGTTATTTGGCTTAAGAAATAGCGAACCAAATTTACATTGTGGAATCTCGTGTAATAAGGATGTTACATCTAAATATTACATGAACAAAATACATTGCATTGTGGGTAAACTGTAAACGTAAACATGACTTCCATATTCTACAAGTCACGATTCCGCCTCCTTTCATACTAAAATCAGACGTTAATAATAACATGTTATTCTCGCCACGTTATAAAATGTATTGTCATTTAGCGACGTTTGATAGTTTTATCGCTCCCCTCTCCTGCAGGAAGCTATCAAATGGAGTGTTCGTGCCTTACCGGTGAATTGGTTCCCCAAGGCCCCAATAGCATTGCGATGTAAGAATAATATTTAATTGTCGCGTGATCCAAACAGCCACAGTTGAAGCCATTGAAAGTGCACTCAAATGATCGGTAGATAGCAGAAAAGTTAGTCGGAAAATTGACTTTATTAACAAGCCGACAAAATTAGGAGTGTTGAAATAATATGCTTATATGGCCTATGTGGCTGTGTCTGATTTTGATCGGATATTCACGCGATAGTTATATATGTCGTCTGCAACATATTCCCGCGTGATTTCTTTTGAATTGCACTTGTACAAAAATGACTCGTATATCACAAACTTCATAGGTCTTAATTAACAGCAAACGTAATCAAACCGACATATACACGTCACAGGCATTGAGGCGTTTTGATGATAAAATATGCGTGCGGGAGTTGTAATATGTCATTTGCGCCATATTCCTGACTCAATTCTTTTGAATAGAGCCCGTCAGTGCAAGACGGAATCATATATAACGAACTCCGTAGGTGTTAATTAACAGCATAAGTAAATATGTCGTCATATACACGTCACATTGAGGTGTTCGGTGCCTGACACATTGAACTATTGTCATTGAGTAATTGTTTATTTAACCCATTAATGTTTTATTTATATCAGTCAGTCGATTTCTCTCAGTCGTGTCAGCAATTTGGGGTCAACTTAAGGCACAAAAACGGTCAATGTATTGTTTTCTCAGTTACCAAAAGCAGCCCGAGTCTTGCCGGGTGAAATATGTGAAAAGTGCGGGTTTCGATCGAGGCCTTTCATTTGGGCCGCCTATATTGATTGTCTCGTCGTTTCGACTGAATTTATTATCGAATCTTTTGGAGTTTTTCGCGGCATTTGTGGTGTTTTTAATTTACATTTGAACAATGGCCAGCATAATACCCGAGAGATCCGAAAGATGTAAATTTCATTTCTGATGGCCTATGTAATAAATAAACGTTTTCTCTTTAAACGTCATATAATCTTTCCCTCCAAATTCATAGTCAAATATGTTGCATACTATTCTATATAATTTTTGTTAATGTTGGTTCGAATACTGTAAATGCTCTATTTGCTAGTTTTTAATATCGCTGTCTTCATTGAAAATCGAAATACGCTGAATTAAATCCTCGTGAGCTTGGAAAATAACCATCTAACTCATTATTTTCCTGTCAATCTCTTGAACTTAAAACCCAGTGAAATTGCTCAAAACATCAAAATAGTTTAATTAATTGTCAGGGAAAAAATGGTTTTACAGTCAACACAATTTCCCATCGTCTACAGATTTAATCGCTCACAGAAGTGTAAGATATGAAAAAAGTTACATGTTATGTTTTTCGTAAAAATCGTTAATAATGTTTTTTTTTTTGTTTTTTTTATAAACAATTGCAGCGAATTTTCAATTTAAATAACGTTTTCAAATTGGACTGTCTTTGTCCCGGCTGTCTGTCATTCTGACTTTACGTTCGTTGGTGCGTATTTTTGCATCCGTTTGGTATATAATTTTGTGATCGTGGCGACATGCCCAGTAATAATCACATCTTGCCCGCATGCAATGCCGTCTGTCTATTTACGCGGGATGTTGGACGTTTTCTATGGTACCCTCACAATATTGCGCGCGCACATCAGACAATGAACCAAAAGTGCGCATTTTCAGGCTATCAATGACTAGTTAGTAAAAATATTAAATGTTACCGTTTTGAAACTCAACTTTTCAAGAACAAAATGTAAGCAGCGGGACCAATGTTTTTTTTCATTAGTTTTGTATAACTTACAAAGTATGTCGTTTGTTTTGCCGATTTGAACTATGGTGATACGGTCTGTTGGTGTACACGAACATGATGTTGTCAAATTGATATTGACCTGTCCATTCGTCATTATTTGATTAGTATTGTATAAATTATAATACTCTGTGAAGTAAAGACCTTCTCTGAGTCACGATTCGAGTCATATCATGTGCTTCCCGGTGGCGAGAGAATACCAATTTTTTTTGAACATCCGAGTAAGCCATGCTCGATGTGCAGTGGTCTGTCCGTCCGTTTGTGTGTCTGTCTCTAAATAAAATGCTTGTGAAGTTAAAAATGACCGCTGAACAATGTCACTGCGTATTATTTATCCATGATCGACATTCCCTCCTCCGCTGATACTTATTA